TCGGACCCCTGCCGCGTTCGAAGCACGGCAACCAAATGCTGCTGGTATTGATAGACAGGTTCTCCAAGTGGACTGAGTTGGTGCCGCTGCGAAGCGCGACGGCCGAATCCCTAAAGAAAGCTTTTAAATAACGCATAATCGCGAGGTATGGGGTCCCCAAAATAGTCATAACGGACAACGGAGTCCAGTTTACCAGCAAAACCTTCAAGAGTTTCCTGGCCGAAATGGGAGCCAGGCAACAGTTCACAGCTCCATACACCCCACAGGGAACCCGACTGAGAGAGCCAATAGGACGGTGAAAACAATGATTGCGCAGTTCGCAGGGCAGAACCAAAGAGACTGGGACGAAAATGGCCAGAATCATGCTGGCAGTAAACACGAGCGTTTCAGAATCCTCAGGTTACACACCGTCGTTCATTACCCAAGGCAGAGAACCAAGACTACCGGAGCGCCCTATACGACAGAGAAACCGTAGGAACCGGACGACCGACAGAGACCCCGGAAGAGAATGCTAACAAACTCAGGGAAATCTTCGAGATTGTAAGGCGGAACCTGGAGAAAGCATCCCAGGACCAGGCTAGGCATTATAACCTAAGGAGGAGGCAATGGACGCCAAAGGTGGGTGACGTCGTGTGGGCCAAGGAACACCATTTATCAAAAGCGGCCGAGGGGTTCGCAGCAAAATTTGCCCCAAGATACGACGGACCTTACCAAGTCATAGGTTTTGCGTCACCAGTAATCTGCAAATACGACACATAAACACAAGAAAGAGCGGACCATCCACGTAAGCGAGCTGAAACAGCAACAAACGGAAAACACAAGCGAGCGGCTACAGCAAGCAGACACAACAGATGCAAACAACATTAAAAGTCCAAGGATACCTACAAGGATGCCCAAAGGATACTACGAAAGGAGTCCAAGGATACCTCCAAGGATGACCAAAAGATACTACGAAAGGATCCCAAGGATACCTACAAGGATGACCAAAGGATACTACGAAGGGAGTCCAAGGATACCTCCAAGGATGACCAAAGGACACTACGAAAGGATCCCAAGGATACCTCCAAGGATGCCCAAAGGATACTACGAAAGGAGTCCAAGGATACCCACAAGGATTCCCAAAGGATTCTACGAAAGGAGTCAAAGGATACGTCCAAGGATTCCTAAAGGGTACTACGGAAAGAGTCCAAGGATACCTGCAAGGATTCCCAAAGGATACTACGAACAAATTCCAAGGATACCTCCAGTGAAGAGCCGCCCCAGGACCAGCCGGCTCCCGTTAGCCATGCCGAGGCTGTGGCAGCGGCTACGTGGGAGTTCCGGCGCAAGTGCGAGGCGCGAAGGCGAGACGAGGAGCGGCGGTTGAAGGAGATGGAGGAGACGCCGGAGTGGCAGGCCCAACTACGGATGGCCGAGGAGGAGGAGACGCAGCTGTGGGAAAACCCGGGGTACCCACCTACGCCGAGGTATGCGCCCGAACCCTGCACCCCGCCGCAAGAAGTGGCAGACGATTGGGCGTCCTCGCCGGACAGACATACCGGCGGACCACGTGAGCCACAGCACCCGGACGTTCGTGGCCGAAGGGGTAAGGTGGCGACAGCAGACGGTTGTCTGGACCTGGCCGGAGGGACCCGCGGAGGAGACGGCAGCGACGGAAGAACCCCGGATCTGGGAAGAATGTGGTCCCCGGGTGAGCCCGCTGGACCCCAGGACCCGTGGCAGACCGGAGCAGTGGGCACCACCGACGCCGAGCACCGGACCAACGACGCCGACGCCTACCGGGAGCGCAGTAACCGCGGAGCCTCTGGAGCGAGGACCCTGGGTGTGGCCTGAGCCCGTGGAAAACGGCCGTCCTCCGCTCAAGCGGCAGGACTCGGCGCCCGAAGTGTCCGAGGTGGTGGCCCGGCCGAAGTTGTCGCGGACGGTGTCGGCGCCGGAAGGCCAGCGATGGCGAGAAATCGCGGAGACGGAGTGGCCCGAAGGGATCGCGGAGACACCGGGGGTACAGGAGGCTCGCATCCTGGGCGGCAGGCGCAGCGTGCGCGTGTGGAGAGAGAGGCGCGCGTTCCGCGTCCGGTTGGGGCTGGCGGGCATGAGAGTGTTCGAGGAGCAGAAATAAAAGTTAAATAACACGAAAAACAGAGTTAAAAAAAAAAAAAAACCGGCATAGAACGGGAAACGCGGCTGAAACAGGGGCCAGAAGTAAGGGGCATACATGGCAGCTTCAGCGTCCTGAAATCAATATTGGATTAATACAGGAAGCAGCCAAGCGACACCAAAATACTTACCTGCAGCGAAGCAAATGCGAAGTCCTCTCCGCACCAGCTTTCGAGTGTTGCCAGCGTAAAGCCAGGCTCAGCAGGCTGAGGACGATTGAAGGGCGAGAGAGAGAGACGAGAGGCGAGAGAGGTCGTGTGGAGAGAGAAAGGATGAAATAGAAAGGAGTGAGGGAATGCGAAAACTTACCTAGAAAGTTGCAAAATCACCATGAGCCAGGGAAGGGGGCGCCTCGATAGGCGATCGATTGGCACTAGATGAAAGTGCGATCGATGGGTACACGTCAACTGGCCAAAGGTGGAAATATCGCAACGAGCAGGTGGCAACACCGCACCGTCGATATCGATATCGCACATCGATCACACACGAATGGTGTGACCAGGCGGAGGAAGCAAAGAAAAGGAGTAGAACGCAGCGATGAGCAGCGAGCTGGGGATCGATAGCACACGAGTATCGATGTCCCAGTGGAGTCAGGAAAGATATCGGCGCGGGAGATTCAAGTTGCTACGAGGAGGATGGCCAGCGCTGTAGAAACTCAACGGAGTTAAGAGCGTCGTGGGAGTATCGATGGAGCAACGAGGGAGCGCCGCGGGATTCACAAGGACTCGAAGGCTAGGATAAACAAGAAAACGCCGGAGAGTAGGAACAAGTTTAAAATGTTTCCCGAAGTAAGGGGGAATGTGAGGAGTTGAATAACTCCCCACAAATAGAAACAGCAGCAGATGGCCGGCCGCTTGCCAGATACGCGGCGAATTCGCGTAGTAACGGCGCGGCGAGGAGAGCGAGAGAGTTTGGAGACCAATGAAGGAGAGCGAGAGAGTTTGGAGACCAACAAAGGAGAGCGAGAGAGTTTGGAGACCAATGAAGGAGAGCGAGAGAGTTTGGAGACCAAGGATGGAGATCGAGAGAGAGTGGAGACTTCGCGGGCAAGGCAAGAGTGCCGTGTGCAAAAGCGGGTAACGGAACTCCACCGGACTTTGGACTCTCCCGTGAACTTTGGACCGGGAGAGGAAATGCCACATCTCGGCGGTGGAGCGGGACACAGGCGTGCCACAAGCATCACGGGAATCAGCGGGATGGCAGCAGTGGGCGGAGCATCGATTGGAAGCGGTACGGGAACGACAAGTGAGTCATCCAGGAGGCACGGACTTTGGACCCAGAGTGGAGAGATCCAGCGGGCCGTGCGCAAGAGGGAAATAACGGTTCCCGGAGGCCCTATATAAGGCCGCAGAGCGCTGGCAGCTGCATCAGTCGATCACAAGGAGTCAAACCGTCAAGATCACTCAGATACCAAAGTGAACAATCAAACAACCAGATAATCTACAAGGGAGCAGCAGCAAGTCGAGTCGCCAGAGAAGCAGCGCCGTGGGAGCCTACAAGGAGCGAGATTGCTACGTCGAGACGTTCGGGATTGGGATACCAGGAATCTCCGAATTGAGACGCAGGTAGCTGAGATCCAGAGGGCATCACACGGCTAGGTCAAGGCGGTCGATTAACCCGGTCCACAAAGTCCTGGCGTTACGCCTGGAAAGAGTATAACAAGCCAGAAGGGAGAGCGGTCGATCGGTAAGGTCTCGAGTGGAATTGTCCAGGAGAGTCCTACGGATTCGACTTGCGAGGTCCCGGAGCGGCGTGCCCGAACCACGAGTATAACAAGCCAGAAGGGAGAGCGGTCGATCGGTACGGTCTCGAGTGGAATTATCCAGGAGAGCCCTACGGATTCGACTTGCGAGGTCCCGGAGCGGCGTGCCCGAACCCCGAGTACCAAAAGCCACACGGAAACGTCCCGGACAAAAGGCAAAAGGGTGAGGCTAGGGTGGAACGTTCGTTTACACTAGGCGTGGAAGCGAAGTAAGGCGCGAGGCAGCTTCCTGGCGTTCCGCCTTGACTGTCCGCGCGGGCTGACCAGAAACCCAGTGGGACCATCCGGGACAGAGCAAGGGACAGGCGGCGGTGTGTCGAAAGGAGCGATCCTGGAGAGCGCAGCTTCTGTTCACCCTAGTCTGAGAACGGTGACGCTTCCCTAAGCCCGTACGGCCGATACCCCTCGCGATTCCGAGTCGTTACCAGCAGTCACCAAGCCACGCGTGACAAGTGAGCAGCGAGCGAGCGTCTTCAGGGAGCTGCGAGGATCGTCAGGGAGCGGCGAGGATCTTCAGGGAGCTGCGAGTATCTTCAGGGAGCTACAGGACTGGAGCACCGAGTCGTCAAGGCGAGAGGTCGTCGAGTCAATCAGGGCCGTCGGAAGCACCGAGGGTCACAAGCAACGAGTCAAGGCCAACCAAGCGACTAAGACACTTGTAATAATATACCCGCAATAAAACCCAATACGAACCCGTGAATTCTATGCTTTCTCACTGAGCTACTGGGCGGTTACGTTAATATAAATTTGGTGGGACGAACACACAATATACTGAGCTAGCCGCACGAATCTCGTAGCGAGCAGACCATAAAAATAAGTTCGCTACATCTGGCGCCCAACGTGATTGTCCCAGCAGTGAAAGCAATTTAAACAGAATGGGGAAGTGGATCTACCGACTTAAAAAGGAGGATTTCGCCAATGTCGCACAGAGGCTTAATGTCACCCTGGACGGCAGATTAGAGGACATGAGAAAAGCATTATCCGAGTATTACTCAGAAACGGATAATGACCCACAACTCGTTGACATCTGGGCCGATTTGGAAGCCACATACCACGACAAAGCCGGCCCCAGCATCACGTTAACAACCGCCGAAGGGGACAACTTAGTGGCAAGCCTGAGCGTTGACAACCTACAAAAGGAGGCAATTATCCAGGGAATGACCTCAACATCCTTGGACTTGATGCGACGTGAAGAGATTTTGAAGAAGTAGTTACTGCCACTTTGCGAGTCATCCACCTGAACCACACAGGCCGAGAGTAAGGCCTTAACCTGCTTGTCCGATTCAAAGATGATGTAAACATAGCCCTTGGGCTGCGCAGCCTGCTGCTCCTTGCCGGGCCACTCCACTTTGATGGATCCAAACGGCTTGAAGATCTGGATGAGCGACTGCTCACTAATGTCCCACGGAATGCCGCCGAGGAAGACCTTGGGAGAATAGTTGAGCATACGGTGCGAACGTGGCGGCAGCTGACCGCTCCAGGTGCAGGTGGCATCGCACAGGGCTGCTGAGCTCCTATGGAACTTTGCCACGCGATCCAGGTGGCCATCGTTGGTGGAGCCATTGCCACCACCGTTTCCCGTCATATCCGACACGATGGACGCTCCGGCCGTACTCATCAAGCTACCGAGATTGGTTCCCGGGACACTGCTCATCGTGCTCCCGGCATAACTCTGCAACAACTGATTGATCAGAGGCATCTGCTGCGTTTGGGCCTGCAGTAGCTTTAACGTATTGATGCGCTGCAGATTTTGCAGTTTGGCCAGCTCCATGTCCACGCTGGCGAGGTTTTCCAGGGTGTACTGGCTGAGGCAGTTGTCGTTGCTTCCGCTGGCCACTCCCACGCCGTTGTGTTCGAAACCGTGCTGTTGGCCACCTCCATTGGCGGCCATCTGCTGCTCGTAGTTCCTGTTCAGGTGGGCGTACTGCTGCTGCAGCTGATGTTGCTGCTGCTGCTGTTGCTGCTGATGCTGTTGCTGTTGTTGGTGGTGATGTTGCTGCTGCTGCTGCTGCATGGAGGCTAGTTTGTTGCTATTCACAGACAGCAGATTAATCATGTCCAGTAGGTTTGGCTCGTTCATCGACTGGCCGCTGTTCTGGCTCTCTGGTGAGTTTGAGCGCGTGGAAGCGTTTGCTAGGCTGAGACCCAATCCGCTGCCCATGGAGGACTCTAGGTTAGAGTATCCCTGCTGCTGGGGCTGCAGTTGTTGCTGCTGCTGGTGGTAGAGCATGTTGATCGAGTCCATGGAGAGGCCGTTGCCGCTTGAGGAGTTACTGCTATCGCTGACTAAAGCTGAACTGTGAAAGGAGCGATTGTAAATAGATGTAGGCGTACTTGGCGATAAGGGTGCAGAGCAATCGAAGCTGATGTTTGTTCTTTGGAAAGCCTTAAGTGGGTTACTTTGTGCAACATTTTCAAACTGGAAGTAGTCAAAACTGGACTTGGTGCCCGGCGAGGCCGACGACTGGGTCGAGCTGGGCGTCAGTGGAGCGTAGACCGCCGCATTGGCGGACAGTTGGACGCCATCACCGGCGGCAGCAGCAGCAGCAGCGGCTGCGGCCGCACTGGCGAGCAGCAGATTATTGACGTCGCTGCCGCTGCCGTTGCCACCGAAGCTGGCGGATGGGTTGCCCGTGGCGGTAGTTGGTCCCACGACTCCTCCTCCCTGGCCCGATCCGACTCCTGGCCCAGGTGGTAAGGCTCCTCCAGATCCGGCTCCTCCCACTCCCGTTGTTGCAGCACCGCTTGCTGCAACTCCTGGTGCTCCTCCGCTTCCACTTCCTCCTCCTCCTACCAAAGTTGAGGGGCTCTGGCCAATACCGACCACTCCATTGGAACTGCTGCCGTTCAGTGTGATTGGATCGTTAATGAAGGATATCAATCCATCGTCGTTGCATCTGTCCAGCAGATTGTGTTGCAGTTGCTGCTGTTGGTGGTGTTGCAGTTGCAGCTGATGCTGCTGTTGCTGCTGCTGATGGTGATCCAGGTAGGAGCTGATCGAGTGTTTCTGCAACAGCTCCGAGGTGGAGCCTCCGCTCAGGGCTCGCATGTTGCCACCAGAACCAGAGCAATCAGGGGTGTCGTACTGTTGCAGCAGGGGCATTGTTTTGAATAAAAATTCCAATTTCCACACTTGTTCACGTTGTGCTCCCTGTTCGTTCGTGCTCGTGCGCGTTCGTTCGTGTTCGGCAGGAGCGGCAGGAGCAGCATCCGCTGACAAAGCGGCAAAACAGATGTCACCACTTCCGCCTCTCGTCCTTGCGCTCTCTCCTTTCCTTCTTCTCTTCCTCTTCCCCAGCCGGCGGAGAGTCCTCTCGCGCAGTGTCTCTCTCTCTCTCTCACTCTCTCTGTCTCTCTCCTGCGCAGGCCTTCCGGTTGGAGTCTGGGTTTGTGTTGTTGTTGTTGCTCGCCGCTCGGGGCTCCACAGGATAACGGGACGAGTGAGCGAGCGAGAGGGGGCGAGCGGTCGCAGGGGACCCAAGACAGCTGGCAGATGTGGCCGTATCAGCAGCAAATAGTCATCGATTCATTATTCCGCCTCGTCAACGATGCAAATTTCGAAGGTCCTGAAAATATCATCGGCATCGGCTTGAATTAATAATATGTACGCACACCTCTTTGTAGTTTCCGAATCACTGGAGTTTAAAGAAAACACACGCGTACGCACTTGAGCGTTAAATTACTCAACTACCGAGAAGGAGTGCTTGGCAATCGTCTGGGCAATCCGAAAGCTCAAGCCGTATCTGGAAGGTTACCACTTTAAAGTAGTAACCGACCACATGGCATTGAAGTGGCTCAACAGCATAGAGAGCCCTTCAGGGAGGATCACCAGATGGGCCCTGGAGTTGCAGCAGTACGACTTCGAAATAGCGTACAGGAAAGGGCAACTCAACGTGGTGGCAGACGCTTTGTCAAGGCAGCCACTGCCGGAAACGCTTCGAGGGATCAAGGAGACGTCGGCGACGGAAGCTTCTGCAGCATGCAGCTGGATTCTGGAAATGCGCGAAAAGATAAGGACCCAGCCGCAAAAGTATCCAGACTACGTGATGGAGGGTAACACCCTGTACAGGAATATACCTCATAGAGCGGGCAGCGAAGATGTTGCAACATGGAAGATGTGCGTCCCGAAAGCTCTACGGGAAACGGTGCTGAAGGAGAACCACGACTCACCGGCGGCTGGCCATGTAGGAAGCCGAAAGACAATAGCACGTCTGGCAGCCCGGTACTACTGGCCAGGAATGCACAGAGACGCCCGAGCCCACGTGCGAGCATGCGAGACATGCATGAGGTTCAAGCCGAATCAGATGCAAATGGCTGGGAAAATGCTTACGCAGGTGCCAGAGGAACCATGGGCTACGGTATGTGCGGACTTCGTCGGACCCCTGCCACGTTCGAAGCACGGCAACCAAATGCTGCTGGTATTGATAGACAGGTTCTCCAAGTGGACTGAGTTGGTGCCGCTGCGAAGCGCGACGGCCGAATCCCTAAAGAAAGCTTTTAAATAACGCATAATCGCGAGGTATGGGGTCCCCAAAATAGTCATAACGGACAACGGAGTCCAGTTTACCAGCAAAACCTGCAAGAGTTTCCTGGCCGAAATGGGAGCCAGGCAACAGTTCACAGCTCCATACACCCCACAGGAGAACCCGACTGAGAGAGCCAATAGGACGGTGAAAACAATGATTGCGCAGTTCGCAGGGCAGAACCAAAGAGACTGGGACGAAAAATGGCCAGAAATCATGCTGGCAGTAAACACGAGCGTTTCAGAATCCTCAGGTTACACACCGTCGTTCATTACCCAAGGCAGAGAACCAAGACTACCGAGCGCCCTATACGACAGAGAAACCGTAGGAACCGGACGACCGACAGAGACCCCGGAAGAGAATGCTAACAAACTCAGGGAAATCTTCGAGATTGTAAGGCGGAACCTGGAGAAAGCATCCCAGGACCAGGCTAGGCATTATAACCTAAGGAGGAGGCAATGGACGCCAAAGGTGGGTGACGTCGTGTGGGCCAAGGAACACCATTTATCAAAAGCGGCCGAGGGGTTCGCAGCAAAATTTGCCCCAAGATACGACGGACCTTACCAAGTCATAGGTTTTGCGTCACCAGTAATCTGCAAAATACGACACATAAAGAGCGGACCATCCACGTAAGCGAGCTGAAACAGCAACAAACGGAAAACACAAGCGAGCGGCTACAGCAAGCAGACACAACAGATGCAAAACAACATTAAAAGTCCAAGGATACCTACAAGGATGCCCAAAGGATACTACGAAAGGAGTCCAAGGATACCTCCAAGGATGCCCGAAGGATACTACGAAAGGAGTCCAAGGATACCTCCAAGGATGACCAAAAGATACTACGAAAGGATCCCAAGGATACCTCCAAGGATGACCAAAGGATACTACGAAGGGAGTCCAAGGATACCTCCAAGGATGACCAAAGGACACTACGAAAGGATCCCAAGGATACCTCCAAGGATGCCCAAAGGATACTACGAAAGGAGTCCAAGGATACCCACAAGGATGCCCAAAGGATACTACGAAAGGAGTCAAAGGATACGTCCAAGGATTCCTAAAGGGTACTACGGAAAGAGTCCAAGGATACCTGCAAGGATTCCCAAAGGATACTACGAACAAATTCCAAGGATACCTCCAGTGAAGAGCCGCCCCAGGACCAGCCGGCTCCCGTTAGCCATGCCGAGGCTGTGGCAGCGGCTACGTGGGAGTTCCGGCGCAAGTGCGAGGCGCGAAGGCGAGACGAGGAGCGGCGGTTGAAGGAGATGGAGGAGATGGCCGAGGAGGAGGAGACGCAGCTGTGGGAAAACCCGGGGTACCCACCTACGCCGAGGTATGCGCCCGAACCCTGCACCCCGCCGCAAGAAGTGGCAGACGATTGGGCGTCCTCGCCGGACAGACATACCGGCGGACCACGTGAGCCACAGCACCCGGACGTTCGTGGCCGAAGGGGTAAGGTGGCGACAGCAGACGGTTGTCTGGACCTGGCCGGAGGGACCCGCGGAGGAGACGGCAGCGACGGAAGAACCCCGGATCTGGGAAGAATGTGGTCCCCGGGTGAGCCCGCTGGACCCCAGGACCCGTGGCAGACCGGAGCAGTGGGCACCACCGACGCCGAGCACCGGACCAACGACGCCGACGCCTACCGGGAGCGCAGTAACCGCGGAGCCTCTGGAGCGAGGACCCTGGGTGTGGCCTGAGCCCGTGGAAAACGGCCGTCCTCCGCTCAAGCGGCAGGACTCGGCGCCCGAAGTGTCCGAGGTGGTGGCCCGGCCGAAGTTGTCGCGGACGGTGTCGGCGCCGGAAGGCCAGCGATGGCGAGAAATCGCGGAGACGGAGTGGCCCGAAGGGATCGCGGAGACACCGGTGGTACAGGAGGCTCGCATCCTGGGCGGCAGGCGCAGCGTGCGCGTGTGGAGAGAGATGCGCGCGTTCCGCGTCCGGTTGGGGCTGGCGGGCATGAGAGTGTTCGAGGAGCAGAAATAAAAGTTAAATAACACGAAAAACAGAGTTAAAAAAAAAAAAAACCGGCATAGAACGGGAAACGCGGCTGAAACAGGGGCCAGAAGTAAGGGGCATACATGGCAGCTTCAGCGTCCTGAAATCAATATTGGATTAATACAGGAAGCAGCCAAGCGACACCAAAATACTTACCTGCAGCGAAGCAAATGCGAAGTCCTCTCCGCACCAGCTTTCGAGTGTTGCCAGCGTAAAGCCAGGCTTAGCAGGCTGAGGACGATTGAAGGGCGAGAGAGAGAGACGAGAGGCGAGAGAGGTCGTGTGGAGAGAGAAAGGATGAAATAGAAAGGAGTGAGGGAATGCGAAAACTTACCTAGAAAGTTGCAAAATCACCATGAGCCAGGGAAGGGGGCGCCTCGATAGGCGATCGATTGGCACTAGATGAAAGTGCGATCGATGGGTACACGTCAAATGGTAATATCGGCCAAAGGTGGAAATATCGCAACGAGCAGGTGGCAACACCGCACCGTCGATATCGATATCGCACATCGATCACACACGAATGGTGTGACCAGGCGGAGGAAGCAAAGAAAAGGAGTAGAACGCAGCGATGAGCAGCGAGCTGGGGATCGATAGCACACGAGTATCGATGTCCCAGTGGAGTCAGGAAAGATATCGGCGCGGGAGATTCAAGTTGCTACGAGGAGGATGGCCAGCGCTGTAGAAACTCAACGGAGTTAAGAGCGTCGTGGGAGTATCGATGGAGCAACGAGGGAGCGCCGCGGGATTCACAAGGACTCGAAGGCTAGGATAAACAAGAAAACGCCGGAGAGTAGGAACAAGTTTAAAATGTTTCCCGAAGTAAGGGGGGAATGTGAGGAGTTGAATAACTCCCCACAAATAGAAACAGCAGCAGATGGCCGGCCGCTTGCCAGATACGCGGCGAATTCGCGTAGTAACGGCGCGGCGAGGAGAGCGAGAGAGTTTGGAGACCAATGAAGGAGAGCGAGAGAGTTTGGAGACCAACAAAGGAGAGCGAGAGAGTTTGGAGACCAATGAAGGAGAGCGAGAGAGTTTGGAGACCAAGGATGGAGATCGAGAGAGAGTGGAGACTTCGCGGGCAAGGCAAGAGTGCCGTGTGCAAAAGCGGGTAACGGAACTCCACCGGACTTTGGACTCTCCCGTGAACTTTGGACCGGGAGAGGAAATGCCACATCTCGGCGGGAACGACAAGTTAGTCATCCAGGAGGCACGGACTTTGGACCCAGAGTGGAGAGATCCAGCGGGCCGTGCGCAAGAGGGAAATAACGGTTCCCGGAGGCCCTATATAAGGCCGCAGAGCGCTGGCAGCTGCATCAGTCGATCACAAGGAGTCAAACCGTCAAGATCACTCAGATACCAAAGTGAACAATCAAACAACCAGATAATCTACAAGGGAGCAGCATCAAGTCGAGTCGCCAGAGAAGCAGCGCCGTGGGAGCCTACAAGGAGCGAGATTGCTACGTCGAGACGTTCGGGATTGGGATACCAGGAATCTCCGAATTGAGACGCAGGTAGCTGAGATCCAGAGGGCATCACACGGCTAGGTCAAGGCGGTCGATTAACCCGGTCCACAAAGTCCTGGCGTTACGCCTGGAAATAGTATAACAAGCCAGAAGGGAGAGCGGTCGATCGGTAAGGTCTCGAGTGGAATTGTCCAGGAGAGTCCTACGGATTCGACTTGCGAGGTCCCGGAGCGGCGCGCCCGAACCACGAGTATAACAAGCCAGAAGGGAGAGCGGTCGATCGGTACGGTCTCGAGTGGAACTATCCAGGAGAGCCCTACGGATTCGACTTGCGAGGTCCCGGAGCGGCGTGCCCGAACCCCGAGTACCAAAAGCCACACGGAAACGTCCCGGACAAAAGGCAAAAGGGTGAGGCTAGGGTGGAACGTTCGTTTACACTAGGCGTGGAAGCGAAGTAAGGCGCGAGGCAGCTTCCTGGCGTTCCGCCTTGACTGTCCGCGCGGGCTGACCAGAAACCCAGTGGGACCATCCGGGACAGAGCAAGGGACAGGCGGCGGTGTGTCGAAAGGAGCGATCCTGGAGAGCGCAGCTTCTGTTCACCCTAGTCTGAGAACGGTGACGCTTCCCTAAGCCCGTACGGCCGATACCCCTCGCGATTCCGAGGCGTTACCAGCAGTCACCAAGCCACGCGTGACAAGTGAGCAGCAAGCGAGCGTCTTCACGGAGCTGCGAGGATCGTCAGGGAGCGGCGAGGATCTTCAGGGAGCTGCGAGTATCTTCAGGGAGCTACAGGACTGGAGCACCGAGTCGTCAAGGCGAGAGGTCGTCGAGTCAATCAGGGCCGTCGGAAGCACCGAGGGTCACAAGAAACGAGTCAAGGCCAACCAAGCGACTAAGACACTTGTAATAATATACCCGCAATAAAACCCAATACGAACCCGTGAATTCTATGCTTTCTCACTGAGCTACTGGGCGGTCACGTTAATATAAATTTGGTGGGACGAACACACAATATACTGAGCTAGCCGCACGAATCTCGTAGCGAGCAGACCATAAAAATCAGTTCGTTACAGTACATACGACATTTCAGTATTTTTTTCTTAATATAGTAATGTACTGAATCCATCCTCCTCCCAAGTATTGGAGTCGTGGAAAATTAAATGTAGACGACGGCTATACTTAAAATTATTCTGAAATCTAGTTTAATTATATTTACAGCAGGTCTCTTATAAATATGGTCTTTAATTTTTACATCAACAATAGGCACACGCCCATCCTTTGATGGATACGTTTTGTCAATAATGCCTTTTGGCCAAATATTTCTAGGAAGATCGGATTCCATTAACAAAACTACATCACCTTCCTTCAAAACATTGTTGTCTTGTGTCCATTTACGACTAAGTATTAGAAATTGTCTACATTGTTTTTTCCATTTCAACCAAAAAATGTCTGCATGTCTTTGTGACGATTTCCACATATTTAAAAGTCTTTAATCACCATCAGTGGTGTCAGTGTAAAAGGATTCGCGATAGTTGGTTCCGAAATGGAGCTTGTAGGAACAATCAAAAGTGGTCTACTGTTAATCATAAACTCGATCTAACAAAACAAAGTTTTTAAAATGTACTCTCTAGGATATTTCTCTTTTAGTAGAATTCCCAAATATTTATTGACTGACTGTATGAGCCTCTCCCAAGCTCCTCCCATGTGATGGGACAAGGGTGGTTTAAAGTACCAAGTGCAACCTTTCGTGGTTAAAAACTGAGTAAACTTGTCACTTGGCCACTCTTGAATGATTTCCCTTATGTCCTTGTCAGCGCGCCTGAAATTGGTTCCGTTGTCTGAATATAATTTTGTCGCAAATCCTCGTCTACAACTAAATTGTCTGAATACATGCATGCACGCATTGCAAAAGAGGTCTTCAGCAATCTCATGACTTTAACGCTTTACATGATTTCTATTCTGTGTAACTTATATTGGACCAAAATGATCAATACCTACTTTCAAAAAGGCTCTCTCGGTAGACTTTATTCGGCAGCTTGGAAGCTGACCCATTAAAGAAGCTTGCTTGCTTTTTTGTTTTTACGCTGTTTACAATTTTTAATAATATTTTTTACTGTAGTTCTACAATTTGTAGTCCAAAACCTTTGGCGGATATTGGCAATTACAGTTTCACTCCCGATATGACAATTTTGGACGTGATAGTACTGAACGAGCAATTTCGTGATTGGATGATCTCTGCTTAAGATAATTGGATTTTTACTTAACTTAAATTATTTAGTGTGCCTATGAGTCTTAACAGATTATCGCTAGATGAAAGCAAGGATAGACTATTCAGACTGCTTGAAGTTGGTACATTACATTTGAGTTTTTCAATTTCCTGATAATAACTGTCTTGTTGTATGCTAAGAAAGATTAACTTTTCCGCTTTGAAAAGTTCTGTGGCAGTTAGCTCATTATTGATAGAGATTGTTGTTCTTAAGAATCTAATCCAATTGGAGAGCCTTGAGACGTCCGGTAAAGTAAATTACGGCTTTTGAATGGTAGTCAGATTTACGAACTCTTTATCGCTATCATCAGACCTGCCTGGACTAAAAGCTGTTTTGCCTAATGACCACTGATCTTGACTCTTTCTTAGAAATGGCGGTCCTGTCAACCATAACTCATTTGATGAGAAGTCGAAGGATGATATCTTTGTTGCCTTATCAGCGGGGTTCAGCTTTGAGGGTACGTGTCGCCATTCGCTTGAATTTGTTAATTCTTGTATCTCTCCCAAGCCCTGAGCCACAAAAGTCTTGATCCTTTTGCTGCTCGTTTTCAGCCAGTATAACACAATCTCCGAATCTGTCCACATGAAAGTTGAGTCTATTCTAAGATTTAATGTTTCTTTAATAGCTTTGCTTAGTCTAGCTCCTAGCAAGGTTCCTTGAAGCTCTAGTCTAGGAATTGACATTGGTTTAAGTGGCGCTAATCGCGACTTAGCTGAAATCAAGGTAGTTTCTATTTGGCTGTTGCACTCGAAACGTAAGTAAGTGCATGTTGCGGTTGCGTATTTTGAGGCATCGCAAAATATATGTAATTGGATATTATATTGTGTAGTGTAGTCAACTGCCTGTTATGTAAAAATCGTTTATTTTATTTAAGTTGCTACATAATGCCCTCCAAACTCGAAATTGATCGTCTGAAATGAAGTCATCCCAATGGATTCCGCTATCCCAATTGGCTTGTACAAGGATTTCATTTGATATTAAAAGGTTTAAAAGAAACCCTAAGGGATCAAAAATGGTCATAGTTATTATTAATATTTCTCGCTTAGTTGGTCGTCTGAGATTGTTAAGAAGTTCAAAATGGGAATTAGAAAATTTTAAATTGTATGTGAATATGTCTTTTTTATGATCCCAAATTAAACCTAGAACTCGCTCTTCGGTCAAATTCTTTTCTGTGACTTTTTTCGATGGAGTGTTGTCTGTTATCTGATTTAAAGCTTCTGGAGAATTAGATATCTAATTTCGCATGTCGAATCCACCTGCCTTGTGTACATACGT